TTATTTTTTTTGTTTGGTATTAGTTTAGTTCCAATTGGAAAGCCCAGCTTTTATAGGTGCAATACTGTCAAATTTATTTATAAAGAACTGCAAACGTAGGTGATAAATGCTCAGGTTAAAAGTGAAGTATTAAAATCAGGATTACTATCACACATTGAAAAAACCAAAATCATTCTGTGAATCAATACAAAGTACCATTTACATGACTATATTCCTTGGAACCAAAGTTCTCTTTCTTTAGGATGTTGCTGTTTCTAATCATGTTGCCAACTTAAATCTTATCTTTTAATACCCATGTTCCTATCAAAACAAAAATAAAAATCCCACTCTTTCTCAGGACACTAGGCTTCCTCAATTCATTCTCATAATGAATTGAAAAGAAATAATGTGTAATTTGGAGTACAAAAAAGAAGTAAATTAGTTGCTGAAGACAGAATTTGTCTTTTTTCAAACTATAAGCACATTTCTGGCCAGAAAACACCAGATTTTTCATGCATTTAATTAAGATACTTGTCTTATAATTGGCAATTCATTTTAAAAAATAGCATTTCTGCCCAAGGAATAAAAATCCAAAAGCTGCCATCCAGGTATAAAAACAAAATGACTTTATTTTTATTAAAATGTATACACACAGACACATTCTACAATGAAGAAATATCAAATACAGTATCAGAAGGAAAGTGAAATGGTCACTTAATAATGATTATTTAAAGTTTGAAGAAGAACATCACTCCATTGTCAATTTTATTGTGTATCACAAGGTTTGAATAATTACCTATAGGATTTTCCCCTCTTCCTACACACAGACACACACACACACACATACACAAACATTTTTGTCACCAAACTAGTTACAGAGGGCTCATCTAGGCAGAAACCTAGACATAAAAACTGCACTGAACTAGAATGTATCTTCATATTGTACACATTTGCTTTACATTACCTATATGAACAGAAAGAGGAAAAAAATGACAAGATAGAAAAACAGGGAATTGAAACTTAATGGAACCATCTAAATTCTTTTGCAGCAATTGTTAAAATCAGCCAGTTTTAACCTAAAAAGTAATATTTTAGAAACAACATATTTATCGGTAGCTATAATGTCAGGTAAAATACTGTAAAACAATCAAGAAAAAATTAAGGAAATATCACTAAAATAAGGTACAGATTCCTATGCCAACCCTGAATTATGTCTTTATAAATAATAAAAACATTGTACTTTGAAGTTTCACTGTAATCTAAGATAAAATAGGGCCCAAGAGTAAAATTGGCCTTAATATTCAGACATGCATTCATTCACTCACTAATCTTTCAATTCATTCATCAGACACTTATGAAGCATCTACCATATGCTTCCTGTGATCGACTATGAGTCTACAGAGATGATTTAACCAAGTTCCAATTGCAGTAAGGTGACAAGTCAAGAAAACAAACAACTGTAATAAGACATGATATGCAAAAAAATTTGTGAAGGTTTCACACACTGAAAATTCTGATTATCTCTAAGGCAAAGAAAAAGGAACAACATGGGCATTAGTGAATTTTGAATACCATATTCTGATTTCAAAATTAATTTTTTAAATAGAGACACAATGATGAGACATCAACTATAATACCACAATCCAGAGATAATCAATGTTTACATTCTGTGTATATATATTTCCTATCATTCAACAGGTATATATACACCTATGTATTATATAAAATGGATTATATATGTTCATGTACATATATGTATTATAAAAATTAGAATTACACTGTGCATAATTGTTACAATTTTCTTTTAAAATTATTTATATATTGTAAATACTTTACATGTTATTAAATTTTGTCTTAAGGTATTTCTTTAAATGGCTGCATAGGAGTTCACAGTATGCATGTATTATAAGCTATTTAGCCATCCCCTATGTTAGGCATGTAGGTTCTTTCCAATTTTCTGCTAGCATAAACAAGACTTAGATAAATATTCATCTACATCTTTGTGCATAGCTCTGGTTATTTATTCATGATAATTTTCTAGAAGTGCAATTTAGGGGACAAAGCAATAAGAAAGACTTTCTTCATTTTTTTATATTGAGGTATAGTTGATTAACAATATATTAGTTTCAGAAGTACAACAGAGTGATTCAATATTTTTATAGATTATACTCCACTTAAAGTGCTTAAAAATAATCTCTGTATTTCCCTGTACTGTACAATATATCCTTGTTGCTATTTATTTTATTTTATTTTATACATAATAGCTTGTGTCTCTTAATCCCATACTTATATTTCTCCCTTCTCCTCTTCCCTCTCCACACTGGTAACCACTAGTATATTATCAATGTCTGTGAATTTGCTTCTGTTTTGTTATATATATATTCATTTTCTTATTTTTTAGATTCCACATATAAGTGACAACATACAGTATTTGTCTTTCTTTGCCTGATTTATTTCACTAAGCATAATACTCTCTACGTCCATCCACATTGTTGCAAATGGCAGAATATAATTCATTTTATGGCTAAGTAATATTCCATTGTGCATATATATACAACATCTTCTTAACTCACTCATCTATTTGTAGGTTAGGCTGCTACTATATCTTAGCTATTGTAAATAATGATGCCATGAACATTGGAATGCATGTATCTTTTTGTATTAGGGTGTTCATTTTCTTCAGCTTTATAACCAGTAGTGGAATTGCCTGGTCATATGGTTGTTCTATTTTTAGTTTTTTGGGGAACCTCCATGTTGTTTTTCATACTGGCTGCACCAATTTATAATCCCAAGAACAATGTACTAGGGTTCCCTTTTCTCCACATCCTCGCCAACATTTGTTATTTGTAGACTTTTAAATGATAGGTGTAAGGTGATGTCTCATTGTGGTTTTATTTGTATTTCTCTGATGACTACCTATGTTGAGCATCCTTTCATGTGCCTGTTGGCCATCTGTATGTCTTCCTTGGAGAAATGTCTATTCCGGTCTTCTGCTCATTTTTAAATCTGATAGTTTGTTTTTTGGATGTTGAGTTGTATGAGCTGTCTATATATATTGGTTATTAATCCCTTATTGGTCATATAATTTGCAAATATTTTCTCCTATTCAGTAGAAATTTTGTTTTGTTATATCTCTTTTAATCCTCAAGTTATTTTAGTTAGATAATGCTATATCTTATTTATACAGAAGAAAAACCTCTCATGGCCAACCATTTTAGTTTGTTCACGACTGTTCCAATTTTAGCACTTCAAATCCAGAATCCCTGGATACCCCTCAATCACTGTCAAACTGGGATGACTGTTCACCCTAGAACTAAAGGTTGGAGTGCTTACGTGATTCACTCGAAGTATCACAAAAAGTAATTGGTGGAGCTGAGATTTAAATTCATTTCAGACTCCAAAGCCCATATTTTAACATTGGATACACCCATAGGATCAGTGTGGTAATACAAATGACCGCAGAAAACATGCTGGAACAATTGGCTGATCACGGACAAAAAAATAGATCAATACCTACCCCTTTATACTAGAATAAATCACTGATGAATAAACAATTTAAATAAACTCTGGGTGAAAACATAAATGAATACATGTGTAATCTTGGAGTAAATACAGGCAATCTAAACATGACACAAAAGCTAGAAATCAGAAATGAAAGAATAAATAAATATGATTGCATTATAAACACATAGCTATAACTTAAACATCAAAACAAACTTTTTTAAAAGGATAAATAGGGAAAATATTTGCAACACAGATGGTAAATGATTAGTGACCTAAGTATTTTAAAATCCTAAAATTAATAGGAAATATCTTAAGTCCATAACAGAAAAATAGACAAAGGGCATTAATAAGCATTCAAAAAAGTACAAATGGCTAAAAATCACATGAGTAAAACAGCATACCTTTACTAGTGACAAAATTATGTAAAATAATACAAAATGCTATTTTTCCTGAAGCAGATTAACAAAGATTAAAAAGAATTAATAACACCTAATGTTGATGATTGTATGGGGAAAATGGGCTCTCTCATACAAACATGGTTAGTGAAGTATAAGAATAGTAAAATATGTAAAGGCATTTTAACAAAATGAATCAGAAGCCTTAAAATGCATATTTTAATCCCAAAAAAGTCCCCTCTGAAGATGCTATCATAAGTAAACAATCTGAAAAAGATGCAAAATTATATATACAGAATGTTCATATAACTTACAATGACTTAGTATCTATCCATTGGGTTTAGTTACATCCTTGCAATGCAATACTATGTAGCCATTAAAAAGAATTCATTCATTCAGTCATCCACTCATCAAATATTTATTGACTGGCAGGCATATTACTAGTAGCTGGTGATACAGTAGTGTAAAAAAAAGTCTATATATTTATCCTCCTATAGCTACTATCTATGCAGCAAGTTAACAGAAAGCAGACAAAAGAAATAACTATAACCTGCAATAAGAACTTGATGGAAATAAAGAAGAGGCTGGGAGTGGTTAACAGAAAAACTTAGGTCTGTATTTATTTATATGCAGGGCTTAACTTTCCCCAAGTAGACACATATCAAGGTTTCAACTACATGGAATATTCAAATTTGCTTCAAGACATGCTTAATATGTGCTATAATCAATAAAGCTCTTTATAATCTCTCTTAAGAGTCTTGAAAGCAGAACACATGCCAGCCAAAAAAATGTCTTTCCAAAAGGGCAGCAAATTCAGAGTCTCTATCCTATAATCAGCAGAGAGATCACCACCAAACTGTCTGAATACTCAGCCCACGTGAATACTGGTCTAGCACAGGTCTCTCTGGACAAAGACATTGACCACCTGCTCAAACTCGTCACCTTATCTCTCCATCTGTATTGAGCTCTGATTACTTGCAGGGCATCCCCTTCATATTGAAACATATGAAATTGCTAATATTTATCCATTGTGACCAACCAAAATGACAATTTCACGGGTTCAACTTACTATTAAAAAAATTTCTTCACGTCAAAATCCTGAAATACTTTTTTTTGACTCACCAGGACAACTGTCTTGCTCCTCTGCCCCACCGCAGGTGCTGCAAATGAGACATAAGCTGATGTCAGTAGTGGACTCCACTTACAACCCTAATGGCTCAACTACATATTTTCTTCTAAATTCTGAGATTTAAAATAACATTCTAAAATTTTATACTTATTTCCATCATATCACTTTTCTATATAGCCAACCTATAAGAGAAGATGGGAGGAAAGGGTATTCAGTTGAAAATTATTCAAGAAGGCTCCATTTCTTTCAGCCATTTGAGGGAGGGATACTAGCAAGCTTTAATTGTGTGAACTTAAAAGATATCTGCATGACTTCTGCAGCAATCTAGAAAATGAAGAAGATATTCATTAAATTTCTTATACAAATTATAATATTTACAGAGATTTCAGTATAGCTTAGTCATTATGGTTACAAACTTTGGAATCTGACAAGTTCAAATCCACGAACAAATTTTTGAGTTACTGTCCTCACCTGTAAAGTTAGGGTAGAATTGGACCTGCCTTTTGGGGAGGGTATAGCTCAGTGGTAGAGTGTGTGCTTAGCATGCATGAGGTCCTGGGTTCAATCCCCAGCACCATCATTAAAATAAATAAATTAACAAACCTAATTACCATCCCCTCAACAAGAATGGAACTTGCCTCATAGGATTATTAGGATAATTCAATGAGATAATATATATAAAATGTACTTAATAGAGGGAGACACATAATAAATGCTCACTTAAAAGCAGTTTTATAGTCTCTTAAAAAAACACTTTTTTATTCTTTAGCCTAATTCCCTAATCATGAGATCAAACCTGGACACCAGAATTGCAAAACAGGCAGTGCTTTGCAATTTGGGGGTGGGAAAAAAGCAGAGAAAATGGTTTGCTCTAGATTCCCCAGGAAGGGGCCCAATGATTCCTCATTTGGCCAACATTTCTGCTTTTTTTTCAGTCCCAATAAAAGTGGATTACACAGCCAACTGAAGTAGAGAGTGAATGATAGCGCAGAATAGAGTTCCCCCATCCCCAACTGCATTCAGGGAACATTATTTTCTCTGTGCAGAGGAGAAACATTTAGCATTATATTCAATGAATTATCTATGACCATTTATAAATTGACCTTGGAAGATTTAAAAAAATGCTTATCCTCGAATTTGGCTGTGAAAATATAGAGTGCATATAGCTACAATTGAAGCCACTTCATTTGAGTTTACCACAGCTCAAGCAACTCTTCCTGGCCGGCGGCTAAACCAGTTGCTGCATCTCAGGGGCCAGAGATCCAGGCTCGGGTCATCATCCTCAGCTAAGGTGAAGCTGATGCCCAGTGGCTGTCTAAAGCTACTGCTCAGCAGCCAAATGAGAAGGAACCACCATAAGCAAACAAAGGACAAAACTTGAAGTTTTCTGAGTAACATTCCAAGATGTCAGTCTCTAAGCCAGGTCAGCAAACTCTCTGAACTGTGGGAAGTTTCTTCTTGAAAAAACTCCCAAGTATTATCTCCAAAGTTCCAAGGGCTGGCATAGCCAGTGGCACCTGTAACTAACAAGGACCCATCATTCAAGGGGTACCACAGACCTACTCTGACCTCTTTGGGTGCCAGAATGTTAACTGCAATTATCATTTTAGAAACCTCCTTCTTCTTTAAAATTTTTATTTTATTTTTAATAGAGGTACTGGAGATTGAACCCAGGACCCCCTGCATACTAAGCATGCGCTCTACCACTGGCCTATACCCCACCCACCCTGAAACCTCTTTCTTAGTATCTGACCGACTTCTTCTAAAAGACAAGAAAAATTATATTTGCCTAAGTCTAGATCCTATCAAGATTCTACTTTTCTTTTCTGAACTAACTCTGAAATTATTCCCCTACACAGACAGCAAGTCAATACAGCCCAGGAGATCAGGGCTGCAGGGATCAGACCCCAATTCAGCACTTACAAGGCATATGACATTGAGCAAGTTGCCTTGGTTTAAAAAATCTGTAAAATAAATATAATGACATACCTACTTCATAAGGTTATTGTGACAAGTAATATATAACTTGATAAAGTGCCTGGCCCATAACTCTGCTTAATACATATTGGCTCTTTTTATTATTTTAAAATTATGTTTTACTTGATCCCAAACAGATCCCCTCTTCTGTTAACCAGCTCCGCATCATTCCTTGTTTCGGGCAGAATCCTACTGCAGTCCCTGTGGGCTACAATCACCAGAGAACTCTATCTTTATGTACGATTGCTCAAAAGTTAGGATCTTCATTAACTCTTTCCACCACTCTGGCCACTGATGTCACCATTAGCTAGTGCACAGATGCATATATTGCTGGACCTTAAGGTGGTGATGTGGCTCCCCTCCAATCAGCACTCTGAAAAAAAAAAAGCCTGCTGCTGTCCAGAAAAACCTTTTCTCTCTCTTATCTCCAGGCTAAATTGAAAGAGGAGTTTTATAGTTTTCCCTGTCTTTGGCTGCATGCCACCCAAAAGCATTCATCCATTACTAAATTAAAAATGACTTCATGGTGCTCACTTCGGCCACACATATCGTATAATTGGAATGATTCAGAGAAGATTAACATGGCCTATGCACAAGGATGACATACCAATTCATGAAGCATTTCATAATTTTAAAACAGGCACTTTCATATATTGTGCTGAAAGTGAAAATGGTAAAATCCCTATAACAGCGAATCCAGCAATATCTTCCAAAGTTGCAAATGTCTTTACCCCTTGATCCGGCAATTTCAAGTCTAGAAATCTATCCTTCACATATACTTTCACACATATGATATAGACAGACAAAAATGAGGATGTTCTGATATAGAAAAACACTCAAAATATATAGCTAAAAAACACTGTTTCAAGATATGGAACAGTGGTATACCTGAGTTTAACTTGTAGAAGAAGGGGGCATGAGAATATATATTCACCTTTGCTTGCATATGCATGAAAAAACAGAATAAACTAATAAAGATGATAATCTATAGCAGGGATAAAGAATTATAGCTAGTAGGCCTGCTGCCTATTTTTATAAATAAAGTTTTGTTGGAACACAGCCAAACCATTTGTTTCTGTATTGTCTGCGGCTGCTTTTCCACTGCAATGACAGAATTGAGTAATTGCAATGGAGACCACATGGCTTGCATGCCTGAAATATTTATTACTTGGGCCTTTACAGAAAGTTTGCCAACTCCCGACTGTAGAGTAGGGGGAATGGAGAGGAACAGGGCTGGAAGCAAGACTTCTCGATGTACCTTCTCTCTTATATGGCTTTGGTTTTTGAACTTTTGACTGAATGTATTGCCTTTTTATAAAAACAAACTTCAAACAAAATCAGTGAAATTTTGTTTGAATCCTCTGGGTAGGAAGCAGACAGCAATAAACCTGGAACAGGGATTTGGGTTTGGGCTTCAAGCAGCCCTATTTATTTCTTAACAAATATTTGTGAAATGAAAAAAAATCATCAACTGATAAAATTGATTTTAGAAGGAAAAATTACATTATGGTTACTCCCTGTGTTGCACTCTCAAAAATCACCCACATACACAGTGGCCACAAGTGTTCTTCTTTGGCTGCTGCATACACATCTAAGAAGCCTACTAAGTGTTGCTATTATGATTAGACACGTTGACTCAAATACATATTCCATCATTCCAGTTGCTCAGGCTGAAACACTCAGGGTCTTCCTTTAATCTGTTTCTTCCTCTCACAGGGCATATCTTATCCCTTGCCTATAAAAGAATCTAGAATCTGACAATTTCTCACCATATCCACCATTACCACTCTGTTCTGATGTTCTAGGCCACCACCATATCAGACCTAGCCTTCTCACTGATATCCTTCTTTCTCCTCTTGCCCCTTTACAATGTGTTTCTAACACAGAAGCCAAACTTATCCCTTTAAATGTAAGGTTGATCATGTCACTCCTGTTCTCAGTACCCACATGTCCCCCTTTTCCATTCCGAGTAAAGCCCATTATTCATCTGAAGCCTACCCCAACCATCCAATTTAAAGAAAAATTCTCTCCTCCACACTCTTAACCCAGCACTACCCATCCCCTTACCCTGTTCTGTAATTTATTTTTCCATATCATTTTCATCTTTTAACCCTACATCACTTCCTTATTTATGTCTTTTTGTTTATTATCTGTGCAAGTGGTAGAAAGTAGGCTCTCAAATATTTGTTAAATTAACCTACTGTACAGCACAGGGAACTATATTGAATTTCTTGTAATAACATATAATGGAAAAGAATCTGAAAAGAAAAAAAAATATATATATATGTATACGAATAACTGAATCACTTTGCTATACACCTGAAACTAACATTATAAATCAACTACACTTCATTAAAAATGTTTAAAAGATATCTGTTAAATTAATCAGCAATTTTGGGGGATGAAGGTATTATTTCTTCCTCCATTGTACAGAAGAAGAAAGGGCTTAGACAGGTTAACTGATTTGCTCAGAAAATTACTCAGGGACAAGGCCAGGAATTAAACCCAGGTACTTCAGACCCTAAAGTTCATAGTCTTAACCACCCATGCAATCTGCTTCATGCAATCTGTCGTACAGTGCAGGCTATGCTAACCTGTGTGTATATTGCTCAGGCACAAGTGTAGTTGCCAAGAAGGATCAGCAGTTGTCATGGAACTTGAATATAGCTCTCCAGAGAATAAAGCAAGCAAGTTGGAAAAGCACAAGGGTGATAAAATGGTGCCATTCACGTTGACAGTTTCTGATCTATTCTTACCTGGATAATGGGGAAAAGGCATACTTGAAGGGTTTTACCATCAACCTACATTTTCTTCTTCACTTACTCTGCACAATCGTGTTAATGATACTTAGGCCAAGTCAAATGAAACATTTCCAACTGCCTGAGTTACCGAGTCATTTCATGAGTAAATATCCATTAACGTTTCATTCCAAGGCATGGCAGGAGTGTTTAGGCAGAGTCCTCTGGGCCAAAGAGCCCCCAGGAAGTGGAAACCTTTGTTAAAATGTGAATTGAGACTAAGCCTTCAGCACCTCCCCTTCAGGTGGGCTGTGACTTCTAAGGCAGCCTAAGGGGCAGAGAGTGTAAGGAAAAATTCACAAAGTTTCCACAGAATTTCCATGACCTAGTAATTCTGCTCCCTTACAAATGCCTGCTAAATGTTTTATGTTGCTTACTGAAAGCATTTAGAGGATGGTGACACTCAGAATATGCTTATAGTGCAGCTCCTTCTGGGATAGGGGGCTGCTGGGCTCTGGGGGAATTTGCCCTTGCCAGTTCCATGTAATTTGCCATTGTCTGTTCAGTGCCCTGTGGGAGTAAACTACGCCAGAGCCTTTAAAACTGGGTCCCAGGGCCCCTCAGGAGCTTACTAAATTCTGCATAATATTTTATAGGTGAACTTAAGACTACAGATCCTTTTGTAAAAGTGCTGATTTTTTAAAATAACTGCTTGTGATTGCTGATTCTGTATCCAGTCATTCCCTCACCTCAAAATTATAGCCTTTTCTTTTCTCTGTAGTAAAAAAGCAAGAGAATATAGTGGCTTAGAAAACTTAACTCTAGAGCTAGAATGACCAGATTCAAATCCTGAATCAGTTATTTACTGTGTGTTCTTGAGCTGGTGAGGTAACCTCATTATTCTGTTCACTCATTGGTAAAATGGGCTATTTTGAGAACTCAGTGGGATTAAATTCCCATTTAATGTTGTCAATGTACATAAGTGTTTAGTATTAAAATGTTTAGTATGATGCTGACACATAGTACTATTATTTTTATATGCTCTCAAGTATGAGGCTCTGTGACCAAGACAGTGCACTTGGAGGCAGCATGTTACCAAACTTATGTCCAGCTGCTCGCTGCTCAAAAATTAATACCGAGAGGCAATTGTTGGTAGAAAGCAAAGGTTCTTTCCGTCAGCATGCCAACAATCTGGGGAGAAGGTGGACTCATGTCCCCCAAAAACCGACTCCAAAGATTCTGCTCAGCCACAAAAGGTTTTAAAGGGAAAAGGGGAAGTAATCTCAGTTAATCACTGAGATAGGGGGGTCAGAGTCATTGCCATCCCCCACTGCGTGCAAGCTTGTTGACTTCTCGTGATCTTGTTCACACAGTTTGTTTCAGAGAATACTAAGGGGGAAGTTAGGGAAGAGATCTGGTCACCTATTGATTACTTACTCATTTTTACTTCTTTGATCTACAGAAAGAACCAACAGATTGGGCAAGGAATTATGAGATCAAAAAATGTAAAAGGTGTGCTTGGGTCAGAGATGAGTAGAGCATTGGGGTGCCTGGTTCAAGGTTACGTACGATATAGCTCCACTAAAAAGAGACAAGACAAAGGGGTTTCCTGATGAGGCTGGTTTCCTACAAAGAGCTGCTTACAATCAGGCCTGGCTTGGAATCCCAGCTTTGCCACAGACCACTGTGTAACTTTAAGTTAAGCAACTTAATTTCCTCTCATCAAAATTTTTTCATCATGAAATGAAAGGATTGAGTTAAGGTAATTTCTAAAGTTTCCTCCAGTTCTAACATTGAATAATGTTCTATAATATTCTATAATAAGGGCCAATCCAGAAAAAAAGTTATAATGTAGTTTACCACTCTAGGCCTAAAATATATTTTACTTCATCAGGAATACTGTGGAAAGAAAAATTTCATTATAAAACACATAAGATCTATTCCAAATTTTACTCCCTTAATGGTTTGCCTTCTTACTTCAGATTACACCATCCTCCTTGAAATAGCTCATTTTTCACAAACCAGCATGCATTTTGTTTCATGAAAATTCTCTTCATAAAAAGATGCATTATCAATTTTACCACTCATTTCTTTGAAAAAGTAGAAGTGTTTGAGTTGGAAAACAAGTGAATGTATCTTATATTGTCTCATGGGAATAAAGAACTTCTCATAGTGCTTGAGAAGAAACCAAAGTTGGGTTGAGGCACTGCTCATTTCACTTAGTGAAAGTAACCTGATCCAACTAGAGACAGAAATGGGGACAAGATTGCCCTTCTGTGTAGATTGAAATGTCCAAACTATTCAGGACTGGTCAACTTTAAGAATGAAAAACTTTCAGAGAAAACTCTGATTTGAAAAGATACATGCACCTCAGTGTTCACAGAAGCACTATTTACAACAGCCAAGACACGGAAGCAACCTAAATGTCCATCAACAGACGACTGGATAAAGAAGTTGTGGTATATTTATACAATGGGATATTACTCAGCTATAAAATAGAATAAAATAATGCCACTTGAAAAAACATGGATGGACTTAGAGATTATCATTCTAAGTCAGACAGAAAAAGACAAATATCATATGATATCACTTATATGTGAAATCTTAAAAAAATGATACATATAAATTTATTTACAAAACACAGACAGACTCACAGACATAGAAAACAAACATGGTTACAAAGGTGGAAAGGAGGGATAGAGGGATAAATTGGGAGTTTCGAATTAACAGATGCACACTACTATATATAAAATAAATAACAAGGTCCTAATGCATAGCACAGGGAACTACATTCAATATCTTGTAATAGCCTATAATGAAAAAGAATATATATATATATATGTATAACTGAATCACTGTGCTATACACCAGAAACTAACACAACATTGTAAATCA